GAGGTTGTTCGGGATGAGCATGAGCGTGCCGAGGTAGACATCTCTGTTTTTCTTCTTTCAAAACTCTATTTTCTTTTGCCGATGGGTCCCGTCCCTTTGAGAGGAATATGATTTTTATTCACAAATCCCACCCCCTTCCCTCCTTGGGTGACGGGCTAACCCGGCGAGCGACAAGTTTCAGAGCATACATATTACATACCTTTTCAGCAAGGGGATCGAACATTGCGAATAGCTCAAAGTCTGATGTTCTCCAAGCCAGCAAAACTGCATATCATCAAAATGGGCAGAACACCAAGAAGAATATAGGAAAGTTGTAAATTTAACTAAATTAGTTAAAAATTACCCCAAAGAAAATAGCCAGAATGGACATGACATAAATTCACATAATACTATGCTAATAGATCAAAATGGTCAGCCTGGAAAACAAAAAGAAAAAAAAAAGTAAAAAAAAGTGGCAGATCAACCCAATGCAATGAGCCTTCTGCAGATAGAGAACTGTCCAGTGGTAATGAAGACTAGAGCTGGTGGGGGTGAGCCCAGATCTGGAGAAAGGGGGATAGGTAGGGCCATTGCAGGACAAATAGAATCTGGGGAAAGGAGGATCTGTATAGCCATAGCATCATGGAATCCAGCGAAAGGAGGATGCTGACAATCATTGACAGAAGGAATGGGGGAAAAAGGCAAGGGGGGGAGCCATGTGAGAATCAAGCGAGCAAAGAAGAGGAAGGAAGAGATGAGAATTGAGGGAGCGGAGAGGAGAGGAGACAAAGAAAGCAAAAGGCACAGTCATACAAGAGGGGGGGTAAGAACATGAAGATTGAGGTATCGAGACAGTTAAGGGTGGAGATGGAGGGAGAGAAGAAGGGGGAGCACGGCACAACGTGTTGAAGGAAAGCGAGAGACAGGGAGGAAGCATAGCACAGAGGACGGGGAAGAAGGGGAGGAGAACATCGCAATGTCAGCTATGGGGGGAAACAGAATTGAGGAGTATTAGCACCATCTCCAGGGGGATTGGTCCACAAAGGGGAGGACATTAGGAAAGAGTCGGCATCAAAACGTGCAAAAGGAGGGTGTGGAACACAGAAGGAACACACACACACACACACACACACAGAGAGAGAGAGAGAGAGAGAGAGAGAGAGAGAGAGAGAGAGAGAGAGAGAGAGAGAGAGAGAGAGAGAGAGAGAGAGAGAGAGAGAGATATATGCGGTGTGTGTGTGGGATATCTCTCTCTCTCTCTCTCTCTCTCTCTCTCTCTCTGTTGCATACTCGTGAAACACAGTCATAAGTATGGCGCAGATTCCCAGAACCGACCAGATAATACAGAGTTAATACAAATGCAAGCGGAAGACTTGAGATACCTTGGACTGACTCGGACCTGACTCGGACTGCAATCGAACACTCTCAAACATTCATCAGGGGTGTGAATGCCCTGGCCTCAGGCATAGACGAAGGGCCAGGGACTGAGATCATCCACGGACGAAGGGGGAGAGGAGAGAGACGAAGAAGACGAAGAAGAGGAGAGGGAAGATGACGTCAACTCAATGTCTCCAAAGATAGTATCTTGAATTGTCAGAAGTGACGAAAATCCAAAATGTCGCGAATGCCAGGTCTCACAATATCCCAGATATCGATCTCACAATGTCAAGTACATCTCCAGAAGGAAAATGACATCAGATCCCCAAATATCCCTCAACTCGTAGTCCCAATGTCGCTGTCTCAGATGTCATCAGAATTCGTAACCATCTCCCATACTGCAGTAGTTCTGTAGGAGAAGTAGAAGTAGACTTAGACTGAGAAGGTAGGAGGAGAGAGAGAGAGAGAGAGAGAGGAGCGATGGAGGGGAAGAGGGAGAGAAGGCGGAGCCTTCCTCCCTGATACCTGGTACCGTCACTATGGCGCTGCAAGGGGCTGGGCCGGTAACTGGTGCTGCGCCCAAGTGCTGTGCTAATCCGCTCGCCGCTGGACTCTTCGCTCTTGCTGCTCCGTGCTGTGCTGCAGTGCTGCGCTAAACGAGCTAACACTGAGGCGGATGCGCTAATCCTGAAGACTAACCTCTAGCCTTACTAACCTCCCTACTGAGGCTGGTACCCAGCCTTTTGTAGTGCTGGGCCGGCCTCCTACTCGCTGGTACCTACCGGCCTGGACCGTTGATCCAGATCAACGGTCCAGTTTTGAAACTGGTTGGCGCCTAAACTGTGGCAGCCTCTGAAACGCTGTTGGTGAGTCCTAGGCTGGACCGGTACTGGCCTTGTGGCCGTTTGGCCTGGGCCTGCCTGAGCCGCCGTGGTCCAGAAACAAAGGGCCTCCTCTGAACCGTCGTCCCTTAGGCCTACCCTGCCTGTCTGGAACCGGGCCCTAACTGGGGCCCGTGTGGCTCAGAATGCCACACTCTCTCTCTCTCTTCAGCAGCAGCAAGGGAAACGAAGTGGGCATTCCGATAGGTTATGGTGAAGCGGAGATTTGGAGGCGAGTGGCGAAAGTTGCCATGCGATATGTGGAGGTCGGCCCCAGGAGTTTGCGGCGGCTGGTCGACGTTGATATGCAATATGTACGCCAGCACAGCGCAGCGCCCGATGTCCTGAAATGGCGCCAGGTTTTCATCTAGGTCGCTAAACCCACTGGTACCAGGTCGACAGCCCAGATCGTCTCTCTGAGAATCTGAAGACTAAGATATGATCCTCGCTGTCGACCAGATTGTGCAATGATCCGCATTGTTCCGTAGTGTGGGGATTGTGAGCAACTGACTAGAAAGTGCAACCTGAGAAGAAGCTGGGCTTTCCGTAGGTGCTAGATAAAAAAGAGTTGAGCCACGGAACGTTCCGGATCACCAAGATCACCAAGCAGCACGAGCCACATCAACACATTCCTTTTCTTCATTCTGCTGACGGGCAGAAAAGATAAAGAGAACATCGTTAACGAGGAAATGATGAGATCCAATGAGATCTTACAATGCTGTTCTGTTCTCCTGCACTCCATCTTTGTGCCACTGCTCATTCCTCCTCCGCCTTGCATGGACACGAATACCCGCTGGTAGGACCGGAATAGACTGCATATACAACAAACAAGCAAAACAAAACAAAACAAAACAAAACAAAACAAAACAAAACAAACAAAACAAAACAAAACAAAACAAACAGAACAAACAAACAAAACAGAACAGAACAAACAAAAAAGGTAATGATTTGTGGGTACAATTCTGACCGTTTTCCGTCGATTGTGGGTACAATTCTGGCCACAATAGTAGAACTGTGCGCCCCTCAACCTCTTTTCCGGGACAAATAGTGAAACGGTTTTCACCTTTTAGCAGTAGCGGATGCAGTACCCAGGGTTCGATCCCTAGACCTCACCCTACCCATGTACAGTATCTGTGTAGACCCCGAGAATTGAACCTGCGACCTGTGTATTCGTAGGCAGTTGGTAGACCTGTCGTAGGTCCATAGACAGCAGGGGTTCGATCTGTAGGTCTATAGCGTAGGTGTCTTAGTGAGTTCTGGAAGCTTAGCTGTAGACCTTCTAGAAGGTAGGCAAGTGGGCAAGTGGT